GATGGGCAAATGAGATGTAGAGAGACTGCTGGACTTGCTTATTAGGGCTGTGCGAAATGGCAATGCTCCATTTTGACTTGCATTTCGAGGTTTTGACGGAACAGTGTTTCATTTTGAATTTCATTTTGATTTGAAACTACTGTTTCGTTTAATCAAAACAGTGATGCTGTTTCGATGTTTTGTCCATAGGCTATAATGGGGAAGCTCGAAACAGCTTCTCACATCCAGCAGGCAGATCAGGGCCCTGCAACCCCGGGGAGGGCTGTGGGGGCTGTGCCAGTCCTCCCAGGTTGCAGGCCTCCGTTCTGCCTGCTTGATGAGGGAGGGAAGCCGGCTGCTACCACCTGGGACTGGAGAGCTGGGGAAGAGAACTGAGCCCGATTGCTCAGTTCCCCTCCCCAGTGCTGCAATGGGGCTGGAGAAGAGAACCCAGCCCAGTTGAGCTGAGCTCCCCTCCCCAGTGCTACCATCAGGCTGGGGAGGGGAACTCAGCTCAGCTAGGCTGAGTTCCCTTCTCCAGCTCAATCGATCACAGTGCTGGGGAGGGGAACCTTGCAATTGGGCTCAGTTCCCTTCCCCAGCCCCATCACAGTGCTGGGAAGGGGAACTGAGCCTGGGCTCAGTTTCCTTCCCTTGCGTTGCGACTGGCATCCCACAGCCCGGCTGCGGGAGGCGGTGAGAGCCAGGGCTGCGCTCCTGCCTGAGCCACATGGGGCTGCAGAGCTGCTGGGAGTGCAGCCCTGGTTCTCCCCCGTCTCCCACCACCTGGCTGTTGGTTGCTTCGAAACTCAAAATGTTTCAAAACTTTCTGACTGGCCTCATTTTGTTTCAAGGCTGTTTTGAAGCCCTTTGTTTCATTTCAATTTCGCTGTTTCAAGCTCGAAATGAGTTGAAACAGTGTCAAAATGAAACAGCCGGCAAAATTTCGCACAGTCCTATTGCCTAAGGTTACCCAGAAAATCTGGTGCAGAGTGGGGACTTGAACTCATACATCAGAATTCAAGGCTAGTGCTTTAATTACTGCATCATCCTGCCCCACTAACATAGAAACATTATTTAAATAGTGTAATATAATACTTTATCCTTGATCCCACCCCTCCCCACAATATTAACTCTGTAAGAGCAAACCAGTGTCTCAAAACAGAGCAAGGCTTTCATCTCAATTATAATCAGCAGCAACTAATGCAAACTACGATGCAAAACTAATATAAAAGGCTTATTAAAATTTATAAAATGACTTTAAAAATACTTTAAAATATTATAATTATAGTAGTGTCCCATGACTCCTGGTCAAACAATTAGATAGCATTCAAGTCTTGTCTACCTGCCTGGTTCTGCTGGCAGAAGTTATGGCAAGAGACAGCAGCTTCCATGACCAAGCTGCCAGTGCACATGTACACCAAAAGGCCTCTGGAACTCTAAAAGAGCTGTGCTGGCAAAGAAAGTGAAGTGCACTCTGGAAGGCAGTCGCTCGGGGTGGGCAATTATTTGGACCTTTGGCCACACAGGAAGTTTTGGTGAGCTGTTGTGGACCAGGTCACCCAAAACAGCTCACCAAACCTCCCTACGTGGGATGGGGCTGCAGGCAGGTGGGGGTGAGAGCTAATGTAGGCAGCTCAGCCATGGCCCCCAAATGCCACCAGCACCACCTCCTACCCACCCTTCTGCCCTGAGGGGCTTGGACAAACACCCCGATCTCCAGCGGGAACCTGCCAGTTGCATCCACAGCTGATGCCAATGCCCACCCAGAGCTGCTTCTGGCACACAGGGTAGAATCTGGTGCAAGCTGCAGGGACGGGCTGTAGGTGTGGGATGGTTTGGGTGGGGAGGGCAGGAAGGAAGGGAAGAGAGGCAGCCCTGGCCACAATGAGTGGTGGAAGCCATTGCTGGGTGCCAGAAAAAAGCAGGACCCAGTAGCAGGTGCACTTGCCACTTCCAGGACTCTTCTGTCTGCAGCCACCCAGAGCCTGTGCCAGGGCTGTGCTGCAGTTCCTGTCCACTGCCACGACCACCACCACCACCACCACCACTGCTGCCCCATTGGCCACACTGGTGGTGGTGATGGGGAGGACCTTCACTGCAGCCACAGCCAAAAGGGACCTGGCAGGGGTGAGTATGCCCGCTACCAGCTCCTGCTTTTTCCCAGTGCCCAGCTCTGGCCATCACCACTTATCAAGGGCAAGGCCACCTCCGTACTCTCCCAACCCCCAACCGTTCTGCACATACAGTAAATCCCTGCAGCTTATGCTAGCTCCTGGCCCATGCATCACAAGCAGGGCTGGGTAGGCACTGGCAGCAGCTGTGGATGCAGCTAGCAGGTTCCCGCTGGAGATTGGGGCATCTGCCTGGGTCTGCAGGTGATGCTATTTCATCAACGTGTCAGCAGTGGTCCTGGGCAGTTGCCCGTGCCCCAGTGGGAACCTGCAGGAAGCATCCACAGCTGCTGCCAGTGCACGCCCAGAGCTGTTTTCAGCGTGTGGCATGGGACCTGGTGGAAGCTGCAGATGGAGTTGGGACATACCCGCCCACCTGGCACAATGCAACAGCCATAGCAGTCAGCTCCCTGCAGGCCAGAACCTATGACTTTATGGCCACCGATCCGCAGGTTGGATACAATCAGTTGGTGGGCCAGGTCTGGTCTGTGGGCCATATTTTTCTCACCCCTGCACTAGCTGCAGATGAGACTGCTAAAGCTAGCATAGGACCAGGGAGTGATTACACATACTTGTTCTGGCTGCCAAAGGGTGCCAAATCCTTCACCTAGAAGGGGTGGTATTATAGTTAGCAAAAAGGCTGTCTTGGCTGGTACAGGGAAGCTTTGAGTGTGGATGCATTCAAAGTGTTTCCAGCAAAACTTGATAGTTACCTTGGCAATATCCAAGGTTAGTTTCCCAAATAGTTGGAATGTGTAACAATCAAACAAGCTGATTTGCTGATACATGAAAATGTAAGACTGCAGGTAAAGTTTTGCATTATAGCGCAGGCTTGATGAAGTTGATGTGCATATTGCTTTTTCATTTAAGTAAAAGCCACAGGGGAATGCTGGAGTGATCTGCTGACAGCACTGTGTAAGTGGCCTGGATTGCACAATAATCTCTTTAATTTCTAATAGCCGTACTTTGAATTTAAAGTTTTAGGTGGATGGTTTTTGTCCTGATGCAACACTGTCACTAAATGTACTTTGTGTTAAGAGTCACTTGCTACAATTGAATCATATAAAAGACTAGGTTTATTTAATAAAAGTTACCTGGGTAAGGCAAGGAGGGGCTTTAGCTTCCAAGTGCTGCAAGGTGACCTCTTCCACCTTGCGCTTTATCATCCTGCCATGGCTGGTCTCAACCACAAGAATATTTTACAGTAAAGAAGTAAACTGTAAAGAGGTAAACTGCAGATTTCCAGACCCTAGCTCCATCTTTAAGTGAGATGAGATGAGGCCAAACGTTGACATTTGCAACTTTTTGCACGGAAAAAAAGTTTGTCAGATTGCCACCAAAACAAAGATGCATCAATAACTTATTTAGCATAATTCTTTACTTTCTACCAGGTCAGTGACAAACTGATACTTAAATAACACAGAACTACATTTAAAACAATTCCTTTTCAAAAGGCAAGTCACAACCCATTTCAGACAGAAAACCTCCTGTTGTTTTTCTGCCTTAAGAGTATGGATTTAAAATGTTTGATAAGCACTAGATAAGTTCTCAGTGGCTTAAGGCTCCACAGATATCATCAGCCTCAGCAGTATTTTTAATAACCAGAACAAAAAAAACCCAACCAAAACATGTTGACATAAAAACCTACACTTACGAAAGGCAATGGGAAGAAAAATAACAACAAAAGTCATTATGAAAAGGCTTTAATTCCTTTTTCCAACTACCCCCGAGACATTAGTGCAAGAATACCAAAAACTACTGAACTTATTTGCTTAAGATGTAAAAAAAAATGTTACTACTAAAAACAGAACCATTAGTATTTAAATACTACCATATTTACTCAAATAAAAGACAACCCTGAATATCAGGCAACTATTCTATATATGGAAAATTTATACATTTGTTGTAATTTTCCAGGTATAGAATCTAAGCATTGGAAAGTATCTTAAATCCCACCTCCCCACTGATACAGCAGGTAAAGCAGTGGGAGTGGGGTCAGATGGCTCCCCTGTCATGCCCATTTCTTCCCCCTGCAGCCTTCCTGCCCTGCTGCCCCCTGCACTCTCCACCCCCACCTCCCCACAGCTTCTGCTTTTCTCTCCACCACTCCCCCCAGTCTCTGCCCCTTCCCTTTTCTAACCCCCTTCTCCCCTCCCCATCATCAGATGCTGCAGGGGTGCTCTATCTTGGAGCACAGCATATGAAAGCTCAGCCCTTGCATGGCCATGCAGCAGTGCCAGCCCTGCTGACTGGCTATGCAGACAATGCACCAATGTTGGTGCTGCTGATTGGCTAGGCAAGGAAAGGAGTTTCCTTATGACCCATATCCAGGAAAGACACCAGCAAGAGCTGGAGCCAAGCTGTTCTGGACAGTAAGAGGGAGGGAAGTAGGTTGGGCCCAGGGGCAGAAGCTGCAGTGGGGAAGCAGAGGTGGGGTGCAGGAGGCAGCTAAGGGCCTGGTGTGGGCCTGACTCTAGCCCCAACCCAGGCTCAAGGCCAGAGTCAAAGCTGCAGCAGCCACCTGCTCCCCCCTCCACTTTGTATGCGAATAGAAGCTGAGTTCCCCCATGCTGATTGGGGGAACAAACCTTGTCTTATATTTGAGTAAATATAATAGTTCATACAGAATTTCAAATGTTCCTACTGCCAAAAAGGATGCTATAGGTAGGGCCTGGTTTAAATCATGATTTCACATTTTTCATGAAAACCACAAAATTAAGTGATTTTCACTTCCCCAGCAAGTGGCAATATCATGGCATTTTGTTGCAACAAGACGGCTGCTGCAGGCTGGGGAAAACATTTTGCAGCCAAAAGCAAAAGCCTAGTAACCCAGGGGAGTGGGGAAAGGGGTCATAAAAGGTACAGGGGGAGGAGAGAGCTTGGGGATTGATAAGGAAGGGGCTGTTTGCTGTTGACAAAATTGGGGAATGGGGGTTGGGAGTGCCTGAGGTCTGCCTTGGCAAACGGCCCTGGCACCAGGTACGGGAGGAATTTTTTGCTTTTCCAGGTGGGAAAACGGGCACTGGGGGCTGGGATGGAGGGAAAGAACACACATGCAGAGGAGCAAACATGTCTCCCCTACCTGGTGCCAGGGCTACCTGCTGTTCCTGCCTCTTCCAGTCAGGTCGGGGGTGGGGAGAGCATGGGCTTTTGCGCAGCAATCAGAGCCCTTGGAAGCAAGGCCTCTGCTACTGCAATTAAACCTGGCCCTAAACCTGCCCCCTCATCCAATCATTGGGCATGGGGGGCAAGAGCGGTACCATGATCTGGGCACAAAAATGGCAGCTCCTGCCATGATGGGGCCACAATATTAGGGGTCTGGGCCCATGATTTAAATCAGGCTGTAGCTTAGGGGTGGACAAAATTGGCCCGCGGAGGGTTTTGTCCAGCCCGCAGTAGGACCCTTGGTTCCGCCTGGCCCAGGCACTGCCCCGCCCTGTAGTGCGTTCTGCCACTCCTTGGACATGCAGCAGGGCTGGGGCAGCTCCACAGCTGGACTGCCTTTCTAGGAAAGGCAGTCCCAGGGAGCGGCGGCTCCTTCTGGCTGCTGTCTCCACTGGCCCCAGCCCTGTGATACCAGCGGGGACCCATGCACACAGCCCTGACCTGGCCTACCTCACACCGGCTGACATTGGCTCCAAAGATAAGCAGCTTGAAACCCTCTGGGTCAAGCTACAGGTTAGGGTGGTGGGGAGGCGAAGGGGGTGAGAGAAACCTAACTGTAGGCGTTTACTACAGGCCACCAAACCAAGGGGAGGAGCTGGATCTCAAGTTCTCTCGAGAACTGACAGAGGCCACATGTGCAAAGGACTTGGTTGTCATGGGTGACTTCAATTACCTGGACATACAATGGGAGGAACACTTGGCTAGCTCAGATCATTCACACAGTTTCCTGACTGTGATTGAGGAGATCTTTCTGACTGAGGAAGTGCAAGGGCCAACCAGAACTAACAGTCTCCTAGATTTGGTCTTGGCCGAGATGATTTGGTGTGTGGCTTGAACACTGAGGGTAACCTGGGTGACAGCAACCATGCAATTACCAGGTTCACCATCTGCTGCAAGGTCAACAAATCAACCAGCAGGATTGAAGTCCTGGATTTCAAAAATGCTGACTTCGACAGGCTCAGAACATTAGTAGGAGAGGTGATGTGGGACCAGGAAGGGAAGGCGAATGGGGTGTGTGAAGAGTGGTCGTTGCTCAAGGATACGATCCTCGAAGCACAAAAGAAAACCGTTCCTGCAAAGAGGAAAGGTAGCAGACGGGCTGGCTTAATAGGGACGTTACGGTCCTCTTAAAAAAGAAAAAAAGAGGTGTATGCACAGTAGAAGCTAGGGATGGTCCTCAAGGAGGACTATACAACAGTGGCCAGCATTTGTAAGGAAATGATCAAGAAAGCCAAGGCAGTGACGGAGTTTAGGTTAGCTATGGGAGTCAAGGATGATAACAAGTCCTTCTTTAGGTATGTAGGCAGTCGAAGGAAAGCAAATGGAGGTGTGGGACCCCTGCTTAACACCTCAGGACAGCTGGTAACCAACATTCAGGAAAAAACTGAACTCCTGAATGCCCACTTTGCTTCAGTATTTCACTGGACCAAGGGGAAAGTCAAGCGAGATAAGGCTCATGGGGGATATGCTGGGACTGACAGCCTCCCCACTGGATGCTGAGTGGGTGCAATACCAACTAGAAAAGCTAGACATTTATAAAAGTCAGTAGGACCAGATGGACTTCATCTGAGAGTGCTGAAGGAACTAGCTGAGGTCATCACAGAACCCTCGGCAAAGCTCTTTCAGAATTTGTGGTACACAGGGGAAATCCCTGACAATTGGACGAGGGCCAACATTGTGCTCATCTTTAAGAAGGGGAAGAGGGAGGACCCAGGCAACTATAGGCCAATCAGCCTAACCTCCATCCCAGGGAAAATCCTGGAAAAGCTCATTAAAGAATCTATGTGGGATATGCTCACAGAAGGTAAGATTCTGAATGACAGCCAACATGGCTTTATTGCAGGTAGATTTTGTCTTACCAATCTCATCTCCTATGACCAGGTTTCTCACCACCTGGACATGGGAGACAAGGTAGACGTTATACACCTAGACTTCCAAAAGGCTTTTGATTTAGTATCCCATGATATCCTTGTACGAAAACTGGAAGACTGTGGGCTCAGCTGCTCAACGGTTCAGCGGGTGGGAAACCGGCTACAGGATAGGACCCAGAGAGTTCTCAGGAATGGATCTGTGTCATCCTGGCACGAAGTGGCCAGTGGTGTCCCTCAGGGGTCCGTGCTTGGACTGGTGCTTTTCAACTTTATCAATGATTCAATCTTTATCAATGATTTGGATGGGGGAGTGAAAAGCTCTCTGGCCAAGTTCGTGGACAACACCAAGTTATGGGGCAGTGTGGTCATGTTAGATGGCAGGTTGCAGATAAAGGCAGACTTGGACAGGCTCGAGAGTTGGGCAGACCAGAACCAGATGAAGTTTAACACTTCACAAGCGTAAGGTGCTTCATATGGGGGCAAACAACCCTTAACATACATACAAGCTTGGTGGTGACAGTTTGACTTGCACCATGGCTGAAAGGGACCTAGGGGTAATGATTGACCATCGCATGAATATGAGCCGTCAGTGCAAGGCAGTGGTCAGCAGGGCAAACAACACGCTGGTATGCATCAACCAATGCATCTCATGTAAAACTAAGGAAGTGATAACTCCCACTGTACTCAGCACTGGTGAGACCACAATTGGAGTACTGCATCCAGTTCTGGATGCCACACTTCAATAAAGATGTGGAAAAACTTGAGAGGGTCCAGAAAAGAGCCACCCATATGATCAGGGACTTGCAAGACAAGCCATATAAGGAAAGGCTGAGGGACCTGGGTCTCTTTAGTCTAAAGAAGAGAAGGTTGAGAGGGGATTTGATAGTGGCTTACCGCTATATCGGAGGTGTGCATCAGGAGTTTGGTGAACAACTGTTCACTAGGGCACCCCCAGGGAAGACAAGGACCAATGGAAGACCACTTCATGCTTAATACCAGGAAAAACTCCTTCACATTCAGGGTGTCCAGACTGTGGAATAAACTCCCTCCAGAGGTGGTGCACTCACCTTCCCTGGAGGTTTTCAAGAGGAGACTAGACAGTCACTTCGCTGGGGTCACCTAACCCCAGTTGTCTTCCTGCCTAGAGTGGGGGGGCTGGACCAGATGATCTGTAAGGTCCCTTTCAGCCCCTAACAATCTATGAATCTATAAAACACCTGCTCCGGACTCATTAGCACTGAGCAGCGGCAGCAGCAATGGCTGCTGGGCAGCAACTGTTCTGTGGCACAGGGGAAAAGCAGCCCCTCCCCCTCACTGCTGCTGGGCCTTTTCTGCTGCAGCTGCCTGAGGCTGCGCTGGGCAGCCAGGAGGTGGTGGCAGCGGCAGTGGAGATGCAGGGTAGCCCGGCACGGGGTCCAGCAGGAAAGCTCTGGCAGTGGCAAAGGAGAGGGTCTGCTTTCCCTCCCACACCAAGGAACAGTTTCTGCTCAATGGTCACTGCTGCTCAGCACTGGCAAGTTTGGAGCAGGCATGGGGTGGGGTAGAGCTACCTTTGAAACTCTCGACAGCTCACTAAAACTCATTAAATGGCCCTCAAGCCATTTAATGCTTGCAAATAATTGCTTGCCCATGCCCTAACTATCCGTACATTTGTAATGGTTGGTAAACACTACAATTAGAAAGGAGAAATCACAATATTTTAGCATCCAATTGTTACTTTTTTCCTGCCCTGAAATAATAATTTAAAAAAAAAAAATCTTGAAAGAACTTTACAAGAGAATATTCTGCTTTTCCCTCTAAAACAGTATTAATCTCAATATGAAGTAACCTTTAGTTATAAAAAAAATCACTTCTGCTTTATGTTACAAACTTTGTTTGAAGTTACTGGACATACAATGCATGCAGAAAGGCTGATCTAATGGTTAGGTATGAGTTTGAAACCCAAAAGACCCAGGTTATATTTCCTTTTCCATTGCAGACTTAGTGTGATATTGGGCAAATTAGTTTCTCTGCACCTCTGTTTCCCAAATATACAGAATGGGAATTATATTATTTCCCTTCCTTACAGGGCATTATTAGGGTAAAAATATAAAATATTGTGAAATGTTTGAATAGTATGGAAATAAAATCCAGACAGGTGTCTTAGGTTGAGAGACAGAAATAAGAAGGCAGCGTAGATTTGCACTTTAGGAGCTCACTTCATCAGATGCTGTGGAAGGATGCACACAGACCAGTAGATAAAATAGAGTGAGTGATTTGAATACAAAAGTAAAAAGGGAGGGGGAGATGGGAAGGAAAATCCCGAGAGAGGCAAGATGCAAAGAATCCACAGGAATAAAGGGGTCACAAAAGCTAATCCAGATAATGGCATAAGAATCCATAGTCCCTGTTTAAACCACTTAACACAGTCCAGTTGGTAGATAATTTCTTGTTCCAAAACTTTTTTTCAGGGAGTCTTCCACAACAAGTACACCTTACAAAAAGTATAGGCCTGTGGATTTAATTCCAAGGACAAGATTGCCAGAGGCATGCTCAGCGTTGATTTAGCACTGCTCTCCATGAAATCAAACTCTCACTGAAACTGGATTAGACATGAGCCAACTCTGAGAGGTTGTAAGAATCTTCCTGGATATTTGAAGTGAGACCTGAAGGGGTGGTTTCCAGACAGGCTGCAACAGTTAGGTATAGATAAGGGTGCAAATTCTGGTGACTTACTTAAATGGATATTAGTGAAGTTGGAGAGCAAGAAAAAACCCATATACAGAAAAACCTACCAAGTTATCAGTAATAAAGCACCATTTGATTGACTGATATGTTGACAGA